TTTAAATCTCTTTATAGGGAGGAGTTCTACAAATATAAGGAGTATAAAGTGCAATTAATATCTAATAAACTTTAGAGCTTTCTATAGCACCTTCCTAGGTATATAGAGGAAGAGGATACTACTACCTAATTTATAATAAACGACCTAGAACTTAAGGCGAGCTATAGATTTAATAGCCCTACGCGAGATAAGTGTGATCGGTAGCGCAAATATATATTTACTAATTAATTGTTCGGTCGAGATTAGCCATAGTCATAATATATAACGTCACTCGGTATCACAAAGGACATTATAGGCTATTTCTTCGGAAAAACTCTATTTTAATAACTCTAGGAGCAAAATTCTCTCCAAAGCTCCTATAGTCCTAAATCTATAGAGGTAGACACAGCGGGTTCTACTAAGGAGCGCCCTATAGTTCACCTACTAAACTCACCGCTAGTGGAAGTGCCCTAATCATCTATAAACTCCAGACTAGATATAATAAAAGACAACGACCGCACGTTAGAACTTAATAACTACCTAAGTGGAACCCCCTATCGTGATACACCACCGTTAGTAGCTAGCTTTAAGGAAATATCTTAATAAATAGAAATAAAAAACTACCTATCGACTAATCGGACGGTTTCTAAGATGCTTTTAGAGTGGTATCAATCACGCTAAGAACTAATTCTTATCTACCTTTTTGAATCACGAATTTACTACAAATTTTTCTTAGCTAGTGGATCAAACCTACGAGCAAATCTCCGAGACCTTACTAGGAAATATATTCTTATAGTGGCCAATAAGCATAAACTAGTAAACCTAGATATAAACGAAGTGTATAAAGCAGCTTTGAAACATCGGTTAGTACTAGTCGCGAAAAAAGACAATCTAAGCTATAAAAGAGAGCTAGAAGGGACTATCTCGTTAGATAAACTTCGAGAGTACTTTATTAACTACGATATCCATACGGGAAAGAGAAAGGCAGATTCTACGGCCAATCGATCTAGCAAGCGTCACAAGGATAGACACCTTTCGATAGATTATGAAGAGGAGCTGTGATACTACTTAGATTTGTTTATTTTTATTTTTATTTTTTTTCAGGAATCGGCGGTACCTAAATGCGAAAACAGGGTTGCAAAGAATCTCACACAGCTGTAGACTTATTGCCACAGCTTTATTAATAAAAGAAACACTTTTTAGGGACATTTTTTAATATTCATGTTTGAGATTGGATTCCATGCAGTATGCAAATACATTGTTTCTAGAGTCCTAGATACAGTAATATTCAAAATCAGATTTACCTCGATACTCTCTCTTCTTATCTCACAGCGCCCCACTTTCCCCTATTGGGCTAAGATCCCATCATGCTATGTAGCCTGGATGAGTCACGGTAAATTACCGTAAATAGTGTGTACGTTCTTCCCCTCACGCCTGCAAGTACTGTGTTGCCTGAAACAGTGTCCAGAACAACCCAGGTTCACCTTCCGTGCTGGAGACACGGAGACTCTTTCAGACCCTAGTTATATAACCTGCTCCTCCTTATATGGGTACCCCCGTATCCCAGTCCATGTTTGGTGCCGTACAGTATAATTATACAATGATATTATCGTCATTCCGTCACAAGCGGCCCCTTACCACCTTATTATCTCAGAAAATACGATCATCGCAGAGTAAATTTCAGATATGAGGCGAGTCTCTGAAATTGGGCTCTAATAATTCATCTGTAGTGGCCAGGTGAATTGAAACTGCGATTGCATTTCTGATCTAAACGAGGTCAGGACGGCTAGTGCGAGTTTTATGACAAAACGATTCACGGCGTGATAGCCCGAGCTTCTTTCTTCATCCATTTGAAATCGGCTGAAAACAATTTCAATTCGTTTATGATCGATGTTTTTGTATCCTCTGGCGCCCAGCGAACTTCGATGGCATTTCGCTGCAGCTTGACAAAATCATCGTTCGTGAACCTACATGTGACACGCAGCAAATAGAGGCTGTGGCTTAGCCAGACATCTTCCATATAGGCCGGATCATCGCTCCCCATCGCAGTCTTTACGCCTGCGCTATGAAGCCTGCGCACGCGGTCCAAAACATTTCCTTGTCCAGAGTAGAACAGATAACCCCAAGGACAGATAGTTATGCCCATGTCTTTTTCAATCAAAGCTTCCAGCAGCATAGCTCATATACTGCATCAAGGCTATGGTCTACTCTATCCGCACCGGTTTCACCAATATGATGAATGACCTGGTGGATATTTCGCAATGTATCTTTATCGCTAACGTCACAATGACAGGTGATTTTGAATCTATCTTTCCGAGCTCGTGAGAAAACTTCTCCAAATAGCAGTGGCAGACGATCTGTCAAGTCAATCCGCCGCATCACGTCTCTTCCGACATTGCGACAGGGGCCAGACATGACATATGTATGGACACGCCGTGATCAGCAACACTAAAAATCCGCTATTGTTCTTTCAAGGTTCTCAATACAAGCTCCCAATACCATTCATACATAGTTACTCTATTACCTAGGTAGTGATATACAAGTCTTTTTCATAAGTAGAACGAATGTATTACTACATTATATTAGTATTGAGCAAAGCCCGAAAAGATCTAGTGTCTAACCCCGGCACGCTACTGATAAATTACCTCGCGTTCCTGAATAGGTGGAGTGTTATGAGCCATGAAGTCAGCTATGGACTTCAACATCATCTTTCTGCGTTCCTTCTCGTTCTCAATAACAGCACCCTCGGCATCTCGATCGGTGATTGGGACGGGGTTTCCTTCCTCGATGTCTTCGTCTTCCTGAAAGTCTTCCTTGCCCTTGAAGTTTTGTTCATCTTGTGTTGGCTCGCTCCTCTCAGGCTGAACTCCAATTTCATGTGCAGAAATGAATTGGCCTTTAACGGACAAGTATTTGTGGCGAGGATCTCGCAAGATCGCATCGGCGAGGTTTACCACAAAGTGCTGGCAATTATTGTCAAGCACGTGGTACGCTTGCGGCATCTTCGATATGGTTTCTTGCGCTATAGAGATACATTAGACTTAAGGTTAAATCATTTTGCGCTAGAAAACAATATTGGATTAGAGGTTAAAATAATAGAGAAAGGTCTCACCAGCCTCGTGAATCTGGTCATCACTTTTAGATGTTACTCCAATTCGGCGCATGGTCCAACTCCCTGAAATGCCGCGTTTCCGCTCGTAGTTGATGGTAACAAACGGGGGCAAGCCAAAGGTTGGCTTTCCTACTAGCTCATACACGTAGTCGATGACAATTATACACCAGTGGTGTAGTGGATCCGGAAAAGGGTAACCGGGATCGCCGATTTCCTTTACCAGTTTGCCAACAGCATCTCTAAATCCCAAGTATTTTGCGATGTCGTCACCAACCTTACCTCCCACGAACATGGTTCCAATATATACATTTCTCGTACCGGCATAACTTGGAGTCTTAGAGGATGGCGGTTTAAAGAAACCGGGGGGGCAGAACCCGTCATCGACGCGGGATGGGTCTTGGAAGGACATTGTTACGATCTGGTCATTCGATCTGATCGGTAGTGAATATAGGAAGGATACTTCTTTGCCCAGGTGATATCAGACTTTTTATAGCAAAATACATACATTTTAATTTACTAATCATAGATCTGCATCTCGAATTTAGTTAAGGCTCTCATAGGTAAATGGTCACCACACATACCTTGTGTAACTCCAAAAACTTTTACCGATCAACCACACCGTGTACAGTGCCGACCGTTATTGCCTTCCATATCGGGAGACAGAGATTCTGTTTCAAACCCTAATCACATGATATGCTAGCCTAATGAGAAGTTGGCGTAAATTACCATTCGTGTATATACAGTGAAATAATACCTAGCATTGTACCCATCTGTATGAGTACAACAATCAAGGACCAATTGCCTGTATGACTAGAAGGCTCCATGCAAACAAGCAAACCACGTGACCGTTGGAATCTGTCAACTACCGTTTCCAGCAAGATGACACGCTGTGGAAGAACATTCGCAATACCCATCCCATCTCTCACCAAACCAGATCACTACGGTCGCACACCCGTGTCAAGGGTGGCCTCAGTCCCCTACTCGACAATCACTCTGAGAACAGCCTGGAAGTCCTGTCACGGCTCCTAGACTGCTCCACCTAACCGAAATGGCATGATGGTATACCAGGTGACGAGCTACCCACAAGCTGAATCCAGTGTACGATAGAGCGGAAAGGCAGAAGAGAACTTAGCCCCGACTGCGAGTGCTTATGCCCAATGTTCCTGAGACTTTGAGTAAAAGCTTTCTTTATTGGAAGGGCCGATCCGTAAAAGAAAGGTAAGGCAGATAATACATCAACCGTTGCGCAGGTGGACAGCCCCTGGCAACACAGTCTAATAGAGCGATTCGATCATCTGGATATGGATTCAACTGCCGCGAAAAACAGCTGTCTATAGGGGGATGGCGTTGTATTGTCGACACAAACAACATAGAACGCTTTGATAGATACTGCCGTCACTGAGACCGATAAAATAAAATCTAGTTGCGACCTACGAACTGGCATTAATGTTATTAGGATCTCGAAATATTTGCAATGTCCGACATATGGCAAGAACATTGAGTATGCGAACCAATCTTTGGATAAGCGCTAACCCAGAGAAACAAAATAACTCGTTAGGGACTATAGGAGACAGAACTGATCTGGATACATTTAGGGGCTGAACCACCATCCGCTACTTCTCCACACTGTTGGGCTGACTGCGAAACTTGCTTTGTTCTCCTCGTGTAGTACTTCGCATCGTCGGCAGTGTAGTCAATGATGTCGGAACTATGGTGCATGTGTATCGCTAGGCACTTGGGTCACCTTGGACGAGTTAATATGTGGTGTTGGCGTGCTCGAGCTGACTATTTCATATAATCGCAAAAAACGCATGGTTGTCCTAGCTCTGCTGTGACAGACATGGCGTCTCCGCTGTCTCTGGAAGTTTGACAAGAAACCACACCTTCCGACAACAATCCTGGGTTCCTCCTACCATAAATTCTTTTCTTGATGGATGGTAATAATGCAGTCACTCTTTGGATAAGCGACACAGAGGAGGACGAAGTCTTTGCCAATCTGATCATCCTCCAAAAACGATTGTTCAGACTGGTCAACTTCCCCAGATACCAGCTGTCCAGCGCACGCACCACAGGCCCCTGCAAGGCACCAAGACTGCTGTTCTCTCTCCATGACACCCCGTTCCTCGGCCGCTTCAAATATGTCCTTATTGTCGCGGCAGTCAATTTCCTTTTCACCACCGGGAGTTTTCAATGTAACTTTAAAAATGGCCATTTTGACGGTCAAGTAAAATGCAAGCACGGCCATATGATAAGATCAACTAATCATTTTAGATAGTTGATTAAGAATATAGGTCCTTGCTGAAGAGCGCCTTGACCTAGGTTTAGTCTTATTTACACCCAAATGAAATATCACTGTCTTTTGTATAGGATACCGTCTTCATTTTTCTGTTCTTCAATATCAGTGGTTATAATTGGATGAACCTGTTGGTCTTGGTGAGAGTCTACCTTGTTAATATATTTATAGTCACGTTGATTTCTCTTTTTACCTTCTATTCATTAGAACCTGATAGGTTTACATGATTGCCTGCTATGCTTCTCTAAAGTTGTTTGAATAGACCTGCTATTTGCTTTCCAGCCATAGTTCTATCTAAATGCGCTCTATTCGATTCTATCCTATCCGTGCCTTTCGACTGACTGGATCCTCCCCACACCAACCGTCTTCCCAATATCACGGACAACAATACTACCAAGCGGTCCACTTTCTGAGAATGTCACAGCACAGAGAGGCTTCAAGGGCGTCAGCCTGACCAAAGCTGTCGCGGCGAGCTTCAAGAACCTGGGGTTTTTTTCAATGGTCTGGCCGGTTCGGGCGTCTATCTGCTCTAGCAGCTCGAATTTGCAAGGGACTTGGGCTGTGCCGCAGTGCACAACTGGAGTGTAGCCAGGATTTATGTTAAGAGGCGAGTGCGAGACAACCTTAGTGAAGAATGCTGTAAAAGAAGAGCATTCGGTGGCAGGGGAATAGTTAGAATCACTAACAATCTGCCCGCGGTGGAAGTCCGCTTCAACGTCCAGGCTGAGAGCAACGAGATGACCAGGATAGCCCTTGTCGATTGGTTTCTTGTACGATTCGAGAGATCTGACCGTCGCTGTAATGCCACCGGGTGCAATGGTAACAGACATTCCTGGAGTGATGGTACCAGTCACAACGCAACCAACAAGCACCTTTCCAACACCGGGGATCTGATGAATACGGCGGATTGGTAGGCGGAGTGGTTGATCGATCCCACCATTCGGACGTTCACCGATGTCATCGAGGGCGCCGACGACGGTCTTGCCATGATACCACGATAGATCGCTCTTCGGTGTGGAAATATTCTGCCCATCCAAACTGGACACAGGGATGAAGTGGATTTTGTCTGGTGAGTATCCGATTTTCTTGATGTAAGAAGATACCTCCTTCTTGATGCTATTAAAAGCACCCTCGCTCCAGCCACGGGTCTCCATTTTATTGACGGCAACAATCATCCTATAAATACGCAGTGTAAAGGCAATCTGAATGTTCTCGCGCATCTCGCTGCCAAATTTCATACTTTTATTAAACTCTGCCTCATCGGCAGAAATGATTAGCAGTGCACATTCTCCTCCTGGTATACCACTGATCATGGTTTTGACATAGCCTCGGTGACCAGGGGTATCTACATATCAACAAGTCAATTCAGGTATATTGCAGTCAGGTGTGTATATTTTATGACCTACCTGTAAGAGTGATCCTTCTGTTGGGTGTCTCTAGCTGGTGACTCGTCAGGCTGAAGCTGCAACCCCGTTGACGCTCAGCCTGGAGTGTATCAAACACCCAAGCATATTTGGAGGATTCTTGGCCTGTTTCGGAAGCTGCCTATAACCACGCATAAGTCTTTCACATGGCGAAATACAGGATCAACAGTGCGACATACTTGTTCCAGACCAGCAATGGTATCGTTGTCTGTCCCACCACACTCGAGCATCAGACGCCCTATTTTAATATGTAATTAGTCCATTTGTCGCCACAGTAATGATGATATTCGGAATGCCTTACCCGCAGTGGTTGACTTGCCCGTGTTCGGGTGGCCAATGATGATCAAGTTGATGTGAGGCTTTTCCGAACTATGACCATGAGCCTATACTTGCATCTTGAAAATCGCACTACTTACGCCATTTTGCCAGATATCAGCAGTTAAAATACTTTGTCGTTTTTGCAACAGGAATGTGAAGAAATTTGCCCAGGCGAGCACACAGGCTCAATAATGAGGCAGGGAGGCTGGGGTTTAAACCTGATTCCAGGCCAGTGGGGGTATCCTCAGCCGCAGACACGATTTTTCAGCTGATGGGTCGATAGACAGTGAACATGAATCATGATTTGTTGGTTAATTTCAATCTAGTATCATTTAAGGGATCTGACAGCCCGTAATCTTATCTCATAGGCAGACAGACGAGATCTGCAAACACGTCCATTCGGTTATGACATCATAATGTGGATTTACTCAAGCTGGGACCCACTTATCACTATGTATGCTGCTAGAAACAGTAAGGGAGCATAAATACTCGCCGTCTAATTAAAACCTGTTCAGGTAACAGGTCAACTGAACATCAGCCCTTAGGAGTAGTACTTAAAAACGAGACCCTACCCCGTATATTGCCATTACTTGAATCCACGGTCATTTATCCAGGCCTATGGATGATTTCTGTGTAATATGGTGTTGGCGTTAATCTTACAGTGTGTCCCGAAACTGGTGTCACCACCCTTTTGACTATTTCTTGAATCTGGATTACTAATATCCGCTAATCTCCATTGGGAATTACTGTAATCCGTGTACACCCCGTTAGGGTGGGGTTGTATGATAGGAGGTATATACCTGTCTGCCTTCGAACCCCAATGCGAGAAATTGGCGAACAAGCCGTTTGCGACGGTCTGCGGGGGATTCGTAGGATTGTGAGGGATCTGGGCGAGGTTTTTCCCATTCGGAGAGGAAGTAGAACGCGCATGTTTAGGATTCATTTTCCGGAAAGCAAGTCGAAAGAGTGTGAGGTCAAACTGAATTCGAAAACTACAGTAACAGACCCATTCGAAAACCGTTACCTACAGTACGTCCCGAAACTAGTGCAACCGCCTACACTCTTCGAGTGCAAGGGACATTAGACCGTATTAGGAATAGCACCGGAATATCAATATTCCTGTACCAACCTCGATACTATGATTTACTTTCATTAAAATACGGTGCTTCGTCTCGTAACTGTATTGGCGATCCAAGGGGACTGGAATTTTCCATAGTAATGCAAACAAGCCAAACACTAGTTGCACAAGGGAACAAGAAGGGTAGATCTGGATCGTGCAGATAGGCGGTTGATTTTATCGACGAAAGTCAGCCTTAGGCTGCCTTCTTGACCAGCGTATCCACAATCTCAACAGCTCTCTCGAACTTAGACTTTTCTTTAGGAGTAGGTTGCACACTGCTTGTACCCCCGCCGCATCCCTCCGGACCACCGTTGTTCCACGCGAAATCTTCACTACCCTAAGCAATGCTTGTGTTTAAGGCATATATGTCCTCTGACCCCGGTGGCAGCTCCGTCGGCAAAGTTTTCAAAATATCGTGTAGCTCATTGACGAGGTCCTCTGTATCTGTTTGCGAACTTTCGAGGGATTTCGGGGCTATTTCCTCCAAATTCGGTGAGCCACCCTGACGGACATTTCCGTGAATAAGAAGGTAAGTATTGGTGGACAGTTTGTTTATTGTGTAAATTGCGTCTGGCGTTGGCGGTGCGAAACCTCCTTGAATGCCTGTATATTGCATAAGGGTGCAGAATGTTAAGACAGTGTCCAAGAGCCGAAGACGGGTTTCTGTTTAAAAGATGCCGTACCTCGTTGAAGCCGAATGAAGTATTCAGAAGGTGCCATTTTTCATGTGAGACGGGTATTGAAGGTTAGTGCTGTGAAGAATTGCGGGTGAAGGCAAAAAGGCAGGAGTGAAAGAGGCGTAGAATGGCCTTTCTAGCCGCGGTTTTGCCTGTGGGTTTAGCTCCTCACAGCCCAGCCCCGATTCCCACAGTAAA